TCATCCACGGTTTGCTGGTTGTATTATCGCCCATTGTTGCCTGCTTGTACAGGCCATAAAGTTCCAACATTTCATCATCCGTTGGCCGTTGCTTGAGACGCTTTACTTTTTCGGCTGCTTCCTCAAAATTCATTCGTTGCCCACCTCCCTGAAACAGGAATTTCTTCGGCATGGATCTCTACTGGCCTGTAGGAAAACGCCGAAACTATAGTAGCATCTCTACTGGCTTGTAGAAGGTCGCCGGATGAATAGGGACGTACGGTTCGCTACGCCAATAATCAGTGGAACTTTTAGTAAGATTCAAACAATCATAGTAAGTTTAGTGAATCTGATAATTTGATAATTTAATAAGTTTGATAATTTGACAATTTAGTAAGTTTGATAATATATCGAATGGATCAGATAAGCTTTCAGTTCTGTGTGTTTCATCTCTTAGCTGTAAACATAGACAGAGCATCGGATATGGGTAGGAGTGGGAGTTCAGCACAGCCTCTTACTGGCCATGTAAGAAAAAAATAAAACAGATTTAAATAAGCAAGACAATGACAGTAGAATAGGATAGAAGTATAGGAAGAGAAAGGGATAAATAGCAAGAAAAAATTGATTGGCAAATCAGTTAATAGTATAAAGAGAAAAAAATAACTTGAAAAAGACAGATTTAAATAAGCAAGACAGTGGGAGTAGAACAGGATAGAAGTAGAGAAACAGAATACGAGAAACAGAGAGGAATAGACAGCGGGAAAAAATTGATTGGCAAATCAGTTAATAGCATAAAGCGAAAAAAAAAAGTAACTTGAAAAGGACAGATTTAAATAAGCAAGACAATGACAGTAGAACAGGACAGAAGTAGAGGAACAGGATACGAGGGAGAGAGAGGAATAGATAGCAAGAGGAAAATGATTGGCAAATCAGTTAATAGTGTTAAAGAAAAGGAAAAGATAACTCAAATATATGCAAAATGAAAACAAACTGGCACACTAATGAGTGGTAGCCGTGAAAAAGAAACAGTTTCAAACTAGACGCATGCAACCCGAGGTTAAACACCTCCGAATTCGTCCCAAAATACTACGAGAAATTAGACATTCGTTTTTTTTTCCAATGATAAGGACAGAAAAGAAAGCTGTTGAGGGCAGGAACATAAATCACTAATATGATACAATGCTATTATCAGTTCACTCGTCTTCCTGGGCATGGTGGGGACGTGAGTTTCTGAAAAGATATAGTACTGTTATCAGTGCATTCGGCTCCCTAAGCTCGGCTGCTTCTTGTGGCATATTTTTGTGTCCTT